GAAGGCAAAAGGGGGTCCAACCCGTTACTAGCGTGGTGTACCTAATAAAGTGGCCGGTGAGTGTATATATACTGTATATATACAGTACGTGGGCTAAATTAAAGCAAGGCTATTTCTTTTGAACCCGTCAGACCACTGCAGCTTACAGGAGGTAAGAATTATGGAGGAGTGAAGAGTGCAGCAGGAGCTCCAGACAAAGCAGGAAGGTGACGCTAACACCTAATAGCCTGGAGTTTCGGGCACTTTCTTTAAAAAAAAAAAAAAAGGAACCAGAGCTGTTTTTAAGGCTATTGAACTTGTCACATTACCACTTGATCTGAGACGTTTTTTAAAAGAAAACATAAAAGAGCCAATGGTTTGACAGGATGAAGCCTTTCTTCCTTTTTTCCCTCCTCAGAGTTTCCGTACAGCAGAAAACAGTGTGTGACCTTTGTTGTAACGCAATGAGGGTGTGTGAAGGACAAAGCAGGTGCTGTTAGTCAGCCGTGTTGTGTGTGTATTTGCTGCTGATAAGGCTCACCTTTGCCCAGCAGGTGCGTGCGGGAGGGGTACCGCTTGCTCGGCCTCCTCTCAAACGTGCTGGCTCTCCTCAGCCGGCCTCCGTGAGTCGCCTGATACTCCGTCTTTCCACTGGGACAAACATACAGAGGAGTTTAAAGAACGGAAACACACTTGTTTGTATTCTGAATGTGGTGGGTTGTTGGGTGGGTTAATTATGGCCTGCCACCATAAAATCATGCAAATGTGTTAGCTTGCCTATCTGTTGGCAAAATGTCTCCTGAGCCACTTGGCAAACTTAATTACAGTGGGGTGCGAAAGTTTGTCCAGCCTTGTTAATTTTCCTGATTTACCTTTATAAATCATTGATTGTTTGGACTGAAAAAAATCAGTTAAATTTATCATATAGGGGACAAACACAGTGATATTTGAGAAGTGAAATGAAGTTTATATGATTTACGGAAAGTGTGCAATAATTGGTTAAACAAAATTAGGCAAGTGCATAAATTTGGGCACCAAAAAAACAAAAGAAAACAAAAAAATCCTTATCTCAATATTTAGTAGATCCTCCTTTCACAGAAAGGAAGGTCTCTCTTCTACATGCTTATTGTAATTATTTCCATCAATAACAAGTTTTTTCTTTTTGTTTCTCTTCCAGGTGCACCTGGACCAGTTCTTCTGTGTTTACCTGTGTCTCTTTCCTGTCCCCCAACCCAGCCGGTCGAGGCAGATGGCCGCCTGTCCTGAGCCTGGTTCTGCTGGAGGTTACTTCCTGTTAATAGGGAGTTTTTCCTCTCCACCGTTTGCTCAGGATTGGAGACTGCTGAAGTGATTCAGCGCGGTCTGCTGGCTTCTTCTTTAGGTTGTTCTTTTTTTCATGTACAGTGCCCTGAGACAACATGTTGTAACTTGGCACTATATACAGTGGTTTGCAAAAGTATTCATACCCCTTGAACTTTTCCATATTTTGTCACATTACAAC